TATGAAGCAGAGCCTTCAGACCTCTCTGAGAAACCTGGCCTGGCCTCCCTTCACCCCTTCTCCCTAGTTGGCCTACACCGCACCCATCTCAGCCTCCTCTACTCCTGGCACCCAGGGCTCTGCTCTCTGAAGGCTGAACTGCCCTGTCCTCGCTCTGAGCTCAGCTGCTGGGCACTCATGTGCACCTCTTCCGTGGCTGGGTGGCCCAGGGGCTGGCTCCTTCCCCTCACCCAGCCTCTGTTAGCCTCAGGCTCTCCACTCAGGCTGCTTTACTCCAGTGAACTGGGAGTACCAGGCCAGGGACAGTGACCTTGGTTTTCTGTCTCTGACACTGATGATTCACCCCTACAGATCAGGCACAGAGCTGCCTGCTGGCAAAGTGAGAAAGGCACAGCACGTGTGAGCAGGTACGCACTCTTACTCCAACGGTAGACGCACGTTACGCCATGAGTCCACGTGTGTTCTTTGCCTTGAACACACAGGTATGTTATACCCAGGCTCACCCCACACACCCCACACACCACACCCACACACGCGCACACACACCTCACCCCGTGCGAACAACAAGCATGCTGTTGTGTATTTTGTGTCCCTTCTGCAGTGGAGAATGTCTTCCTAGGACAGGCTTCTGTGTACAGCCTCTCTCCCCTAGGCGGTGATGCGGGCACCCATTGGCACAACACAGTGGATACTGAATTCCACAAGCCAGGTGCCCACTGTCTGTACGGCTCCACATCACTGCAGGCCCATTTGTTCACTCATACATGCCCATGGGTGTCTCTTGGTCTCTCTCTCTGTCGCTCTCGCTCTCACTCTCTCACTTTCTCGCTCTCGTTCTCTTGTTCTCTCTTACTCTCTATCTGTCACTCTCACTTGGTCTCTCTTGCTCTCTCTCTCTCTCTCTCTCTCACTGTCTCTCGCTCTCGCTCTCCCTGGACCTTGGGCTTCGGGTAGGAGCTGACAATGAGAGTTAGTGCTCAGCGCTCTCCTGTGGGGCAGCCTGAATGGGACTTCCATATACCCACCTGTAGATGTGATGTGTGCACAGGCTGTGCTAGAGCCCCCTCATCTCCCCAGGTCTTGTTCCTCTTTCTCTGAGGCAAAAAGCAGTGATCCCAGCAGCCCACTCTCCTCAGCAGCTGGACATGGATACTCACTGACACGGGGGTGGGTGATGTAGTTCCGGGTCACAGCCTGCACATGCTGTCGGGCTGTGACTGGGTCGCAGCTCCCGCCAGTGAATCCCGCAGGCCTGCTGTCTACTTTGGCAGCCATGGTGTGTGGAGGGCTGGTCAGAGGATTGGTGGCGACTCTAAGACTTCAGTTCAGCTGGAGCTGGAGCAGACTGCCCCGGGTGTGCCAGCGGCCACCCCTCCCCTTCCTTCCGTCTCTGCTCCCCACCCCCACCCCGCCCAGTCAGGTTGACTGTAAACAGGGAAGCTGGCACACACCAGCTCCCAAGGTCTCTCCGCACAGCCCGCACAGGCCGCGTGAATCCTGTAGTGGCTGGCCCCCTCGGTGCTGAAAGCTTGCAGTGAAGGACAGAGGAAGGTGCACATTTTCTAACCTCTGTGCCCAGATCTCCCTCAGCACAGCTCCCATGAGTGTGGCTTCAGCTTTTCCGTCTCTCAACAAGCCCTTGTCCCCACCATGCGGCTCCTCAGGCCCTATTTCTGGTGGGTGGTCTCACTGTCCTCCCAACCGCACCCTTTATCCTGACCGCACCCTCCCTCTCCAGTCAATCATCTTATCATCTCTGCAGGCTCATCTCCTGGCCAGTCGCAGGCCCCCCTGCAGGAGGCTACCAGGGAACGTGGAGCAGACTATGCTGTCTTCTCTGCTCACTCTCTCTGGTGCTGGTCCATCTCAGGTCTCTGCTCCCTCGTTCATGCCTCCCATTCTGTCAAAGAACTCTTCTGTTGGGGGCCTGTGTGCGGCTACCAAGGACTAGACTCCTGATCACATGTTTCCATAGTTTAAGTGGCCAATGAAACGACATAAGTGTAAGCCTATGGTCTCAGTGTTACTTTTCTGTGTGATATTATGCAAGATACTAAAAATGACATCATTGTGGGTAATTAGGTGATGGTTAACTTCGACTGCCAACTTGACTAGACTTAGAATCATCTAGAAAACTTAACCAGCACCATCTCCAAGGCCTGCCACCACCATGCTTTCCTTACCCTACTGGACTACAATCTCCAGTCATGAACCGAAATAAACTCGTCTTCCTTGAGATTCACCTACCAGCTACTTTGTCATAGCAATGAAGAAGTAGCTAATGGAGAAAATTGGTACCAGGAGTGTGGTTGTTACTATAAACCTGACCATGTGGTTCTTGGGCCTCTGCAACTGGTTTGTGCGAGAAGTGTGGAAGGGGTTTTAACCCTAGAATGGCATAAGAAGAGTTTGATGGGCCATTTTGATGGAAGACCAGAATGCCAAGAGATATATGGACAGTTGAAGCCCAGCACATGAAGTCAGAGAGGGACAAGGACTTTATGAGGAAATAGGCTAGAAACAATTCATTTCATATTCTGGAGAAGAATCTGAATTTATTCTGCCCATGTCCTGAGAATTTGAGTGACTGAACTTAGAAGTAGTGGTCTAATCTGTTTGGCAGAGGAAATCTCATGGCAGATGTGGTGGTTTGAATGAAAATGGCCCCCGTAGACTAATATGTTTGAATAGTGCATTCTTAGTTGGTGGAACTGTTTGTGAAGGATTAGGAGGTGTGGCCTTGTTAGAGGAGGCATGGCACTGGGGGTGGGCTTTGAGGTTTCAAAAGAATTGCATCATTCCCAGTGTTCTCTGCTTTTTCCCATTTGTGGATCTGGGTGTGAGCTTCCTGCTGCTGCTCCAGCACCCCTACTGTGTGCTTGCTGCCGTGCACCCCACCATGATGGTCATGGACTCTAACTCTCTGTAACCATGAGCCCCAAATAAAATCTTCTATACATTGCCTTGGCTGTGGTGTCTTATCACTGCAATAGAAAAGTAATTAAAGCAGCAGGCCAACACTCAGGCTGTAGCATGGTTCCTGTTCATTGATCCAATGCTGGTCTGCTGTGGGAGACAGCAGCATATAGAGCAAAGCTATGAAAAGAGCGGGGGTTTTCAAAGAGAATGAGTTCAAACTTAAACACTTTAAGTTTAAACTTAAAAGCAGCTGCAACTGCTTGGGAGGTTAAAGCCATTAAAGAGAGACATGGCATTTTGTACTGGGACAACAGAAAATGGGCTCAGAAGGCAAGCCCACCCCTCAGACTCTCCAACTGGTGAAAATGCAAATTCCTTTGACAGGAGAGGGCCTGAGCTGAGGACCTGTGAGAGTTCTCTAAGGATGGCTGCTGACAACAGAACGATGCAGAGCAGCGTACAGCACCGGCTTTACAGGCACACAAATCGCAAGCGCTGTGGGGTCATAGAGGTTTGCACCAAGGGTCTAGAAAGTTGTTAAAGCCAGGACATATGTAGCAGGTTTGAGTCCTCTGCAAGGCAGCCCTGAGAAGCCATTGCAGGAAACTGTGAGGGTAAAGCTAACGTTGTAATGGAGATGCAAAGGCCATTAACGCCTTCTGAAGAAAGCACAACATGGAGTTAGGCCAAGATAGATGCTTACATGTTCTGCAAGCAGCAGAAGGAAGGGACAGAGCTGCCCGAGCCCGCTGGCCCCTGGATGGATAGCCCTGCCTGGATTCCTGGTCCCAGATGCTGGAGCTGCAGGATTTGTATTTACCTTCCTCAGTTCTAGTCTTTGGTCCAGTCTTGCCTTATGTCTCATGCAGCCCTTTTGGAATGGAAAAACTTATTCTGTGCCACCATGTATCAAAAGCATGTGGTGGTGGCTCACACCTTTACTCCCAGCACTCAGGAGGCAGAGGCAGGTGGATCTCTCTGTGTTCAAGGCCAGCTGGTCTACAGAGTGAGTCCAGGACAGCCAGGGCTACACAGAGAAACCCTGTCTCGAAAAACCAGAAAGAAAAATAAGTATGTAAAATTTAAAAATAGTTAAGAGTTTGTCTGAATCTCTACACTTTTGAGCAACTGTGGAACTGTGAAGACTTTAGCAACTTCTAAAGATGGAGTAAACACATTCTACATTGCGAGATGAGCATACAGCTTTAGAGACTAGGGGTGGGTGAGTTTATGTGCCAAGTTAGCAGTGGGGTGATGGGGGATAATTGTCACCTTGGTGGGATTTAGAGTCACCCTACTGTACATCCCTCTGGGCATCTGCCAGGGAATTTCGAGGGTTTAACTAAGGAGGGAAGATGCACCCTGAGTGTGGGTGACTACAGTCCTTGGGCTGGGGTCCGAGGCCGTAGTAGAGTGAGAGACCTCAGTGAGACCGCTGCCTCACTTCTGCAGCTATGCCTTCCCACCAAGATGGACTGTGTGCGCTGAAAGAAATCTTTTCTTCCTTGCCTCTGTTACATGCTTTACCACTAGAAAAGTCAGTGGTACAGTGGGCAACTTCCTGAGAATCTATTACTATTACAAACCGAGGTTAAATGAAAGCAACATGAGCGACAGGAGGCTCTCCAGGGTGCTTCGTGTCACACAGGCCCTCTCGCCATGCCACAGTCTTGCTCTGATGTCCACTCAGTTCTCCTTCCCCCTTCCACCGCTCACCCTCTTGAAGGACTCACTGCCCACCGAGCAAGTATGTCGAAGCTTGAAGGAAAAGCTTCTGTAGGATAGTGCTTAACCAGAGAGCGCCTGGGTGTGGTAGGGCTGCGGTAGGCCTGGACGGAAGCTGTGTTCACAGTAGACCCATGGCTGTGGACGCTGACCCCAGTGCCTACACGGTTCCTTTTGGGGTTCGCATTTTACTGCACATTGAGGCCAGGGACAGAAGGGAGTAAGTTGGTGATGCTGGGACCAGTTCCCTTCTTTATTTCAGTGTCACACACGCAGACACACACACACACACACACACACACACACACACACACACACACACACA